TCAAATCTCAGAAAAAGGAATGTAGTGAGTCATAAGGTGGACCCCCACTTCTGATGACCCCTCCCTGTGACCTTCGTCAATCCAAGTTCCCCTACAACCCAACTAGAAGTAAGTGCCATATTCCCAAAACCAAATGAGGTGCCTAGAACCAGAATAGTCTGCACAAATTTATTGTCATTCAAATCTCAGAAAAAGGAATGTAGTGAGTCAGGCCCCCCACTCACTCCTTTTGCAGGAGGTGCATTTGCACTCTTTGCACGTGCAAGAACCAGCGCAGGTGCAGGAGCCACCTGGAAGAAAGAAAGTGAGAATTGAGATGTAGGAGGCACAGCAGTTGGTCAGTAACTCTCCCTCCTCCATGCAAGGTCAACTCAGAGCTCCTTCCCTGCTCAGAGCAGAGGAAGAGAAGCTCATCTTCTTTCCCCTCATGTTGGGGAAGGGCAAGTGCCCTCCTGTTTTTAACCAAGAAAGGTCCAGCTCCAGACACAGCCCAGGAAGACTGGGACTGGGGGCCAGGACATCATTAGGCCCTGAACCCGGAAGAGGCAATGTCCCCTGCCACCCATCCATCCTGGCTGCTCAAAGGCTGAAGAGAACCACCTGAGCCCAACCAGCAACCCTCTGACCAACTGGTTGACCTGAAGCAGGACAACCTTGACCCTCAGTACCCTCAACTCTGAAAGAGAGGCATAGGGAGGGTGGAAATGCTCTCAGGAGCTTGGCCAAGAAGAAAGCACTAGGACAAACTAAATGAGTCCACTTCAGATATGAAAATGCGCCCTCCTCCAGCCCTAGGGACACAGGTTATGGGGCTAAGAAATAGGGATCTTAAAGATCAAAAAGGCCGGCGTCCCTTACCAGTGCCGCAGGAGCAGTTTGGATCCATTTCGAGCCGAGGTGAGGCTGGAGATCCAATCAGGAGGTGAAGATGGAGATGAAGATGCACGTGCGCGATGGAATTCCTAGTGAAGCCTAGAAACCCATGGGCTCCCTTTATAGTCAGAGGAGGGGGCCGGGTGCAGACAACGTATAGTCAGAGGAGGGGGCCGGGTGCAGACAACTTATAATCAGAGGAGGGGGCCGGGTGCAGACAACGTATAGTCAGAGGAGGGGGCCGGGTGCAGACAACTTATAATCAGAGGAGGGGGCCGGGTGCAGACAACGTATAGTCAGAGGAAGGGGTCGGGTGCAGACAACGTATAGTCAGAGGAGGGGGCCGGGTGCAGACAACTTATAATCAGAGGAGGGGGCCGGGTGCAGAGGCGCCGCCCCGGCCCTCGTACCCGCCCCGCCGAGTCAGCGCCGCCCGCGATCCTCGCCCTGACTGTGAGCACCTGGCGGGCCGGGCGCAAGATGTCCCGAGTGCGGCTCAGTGCGCACCGCGGGGTCGCCTCTTTGGCACTGGCTCGCGAGGGAGGGGCTGTGCGCTCGCCTGTACGCAGCTTCCCTGTGCCCTGCTGACTCTTCCCAATGTCCCCGAGGTTGCCGGCCACCCCGTCCCCTGGCGTTCTGGGAACTCAGCCCCTAGGTCCTAGCCGACTTCCACCCCTCGCCCCGCACCGTTGTCCTCAGCGTCGCCTTCCCGGAGCCCGTGTGCAACCAAAGGCTCGTGCTCACATTCCCGGATTGCCGGGAGCGTGGGGAGCGCAGCTAGCGAGTTGTGTGCAGAGAACTGACCTTGATGTGACCTTCGCCTCTTCCACACTGCCTGTCCCTATTCCCACCTAAGGCCTTCACAGCCATGTTCCTCCTGTACACAGCAGCAGGGCAGACATAGGGCTGTGCCTCCGTCCCTTCTATCCTCCAAGGTGGAACGGATGTATGAACATATTCGTCCAGGAATTCTTTTGCTTAAACTTCCCTGAAGCTTCCTATACCTAGCAGGGCCACCCCACATAAAGATGGAGGTTCCCAAAGCTTGAGATGCCCCCAAGGGAGGGATCATTTTAGGTGATGTGCAGACACTGCACTAAATAAAAAAACAAGTGATTATTTCCCTTTCAATATTCCTTTTAGATCGCATTTAATCTGTGAAGGTCCTGTTTAAACACTTTCAATTTTTGAATCCTCCCAATAATCTTAAAGCAAAATACTATTTATGAAGTCGTTTTATTAATGACAAAGTACATACAGGAGTATGTAGCCAAGGGTCACAGGGCTAGGAAAAGGTGCTGCTGTACCTGAATCCTGTCAGCTTCATGGGAAAGAGGTCAATGATAAAGCCTCCTTTTGACCTGGGAATGTTTTCGATACCTCTCTACTGCTTGAAATCTTAAAACAAAAGCAAGCATGAAGGTCAATCCTGGGAGGGAGAAAAGTGTTACAGAAGGAATATATATAATTTTATGGCAACCTTCTATTTCAGGAAGTGAGACAGATTTCATTAGTGGTAAGGAGTTTGCTTTTCATATAAATACAATTAAAGAAATATGATCTATTAAACGAAAAATGGTAAGTAAAATAACTTTGCAGAACACAGCATTTTTGGCAGGCATCCTTTTCTATCATTCATAAGGATGCTAACTATCTTGTTCACCAATATATATCCCCAATGTGGATCCCTATTTTGTGGAAGATACAAGGACCTTCTCTGGGTCACAGGTCACATGCTCACACGGTTGATGAAAACTACATAGGACATACCAGGCCTGGCTTATTTGTCTGGGATAAAAATGTCTTCTATGGTATGAATAAAGGTAACAATATAATAGCTAATATTATAGACTCCTTGACACATGTCACGCAGCATTCTAAGTTATTTCCATGTATTAACTCGTTTATTTCTACTGGTCAGATGCTGCTAGTATGCCCTTTATACAGTGGAGGAGACTGGGCCACAGAGAAGGTATGTCACCCAGCTATAAGTGACAGAGCTGGGATTTGGACTCATACACACTGAGTGCAGAATTATTCCCTCACCACACCCTACACCACCATGTCACATGAAAGACAAGGACACTGAAATCTGGCACAGAGGCAGCAGTGGGAAGACGACTGAGCTGGCAGTTAGCTCCCTCTGCATAGCTCTGTGACCTCTCTGGGCTTCAGTCGACCATCTCTCTAGTCAGGGGCACAATTGTTCTAACTAAGCCCGGGCCATTCAGCTTTGAAATGTAAAGGGCAGGGTTTAGCATCCAGTGACATCATGATTTGCCCGCTGATACCAGGGCATGAGGCCAGCTGAAGCATAAGTTCATTCATGCCATTACTACTGAACTGTGTCACCTTGGGCAGGTTGCTTAACTATTCTCTGGAAGACAGAACAATCTCGCCAGACCCTGTATATTCACTCTCTCACTGGTTCATGTGAAGATCCAATGACATGAAGGGTGGGAAAGGCTTCTTCTCTGCTCAAATGCTGGGGCAGTGTCTTGTCTTGAAGGGTTTTGTATAGGAGGTTATCCACACGGCCTCAGAACCAGATCAGCAAGGTTCCAATCCATCCTCAACTTCAAATCCACAATAATGCTTCCAAGTGGATGGGCCTTTCCCTAGGAGCTTGATGGGAGGGAACAGGATTCTTTCTCCAAAAAGTCCACGTGGACAGAATGTTTGTAATGCCATTGTTTATCAAGCCTAGCCAGGAGCCAGGCCACTATCACATTTAATCCCTACATAGAGATACAATCTTCTTTCTACAAATGAGGAAATGGAGGCTAAGAGAGGTTAAGCAACTTGACCAGGCCACATAGCCAGTTCTGATGAAGTAGGCCGTAACCCAGGGCTGCCTGACACCAAAACCAATGCAGTTGGCCCAGGCTGCCTTCTGAATCCTCTCTTCACACAGAGCACTTGCACAGTGGCATGGCCCTGCCTCCTGGGACACCAGATTCATCTTCCTCTTAGACTGAACATCTGGTAGCATTCCCTGAGCAAATACCGATGGAGACTAAATGCTGGCATTAAGTACAAGTCACCCAGGGCCTCACTCCTTCCTAATAAACACCTTCACACCCTCACCACTGCAGAATATGCCATCACCACTGCCTAGGCAACTAAAAATACTTCATCTGGAAGTAATTCATATACTCCCTCTTGCTGAGAAACACTGGAAAATTTCCTCCAATTCCCTTGTTACTTTGGTGGCTTAAAGTCAACAAGGGCTGGAATTTGAAGCGGGAGCAGATTCATCTTAACCTTGGGAGGAAATTCCAAAGATTCAGAGCCATGTTACAACAGGGAGCTCTCAGGAGTAGCAAGAGTGGCACTGGGCAAGCCAAGCCTGATGGTTCCTCGTGGGGATGTCCCGGCGAAGGCTGCTCAAGGTGTATGATCCACTCATTGGAGCTGGTTTGTGAACTGTTTCCAGTCTGCAATGGACTGCCGAGAAGAAATGTGCAGTATTTGTAATTCTTTTATTTTTCCTATGTTATCTTGTTTTTCATATTTATTGAAATTTTACTGTTGAATCTCAAAAATAGGTTTCGTATTGTTTTCATTTTTTTATACTAATTCATTTTATTTTATTTTATATTATCAAAGTTTAGCTTTCTAACAGATAAATAAAAATTGTCCTTCACCACTGTTTTAGAAGCTCTGTGTAGAATACAAGCAGGTAATACTAATTCATTTTATTTTATTTTATATTATCAAAGTTTAGCTTTCTAATAGATAAATAAAAATTGTCCTTCACCACTGTTTTAGAAGCTCTGTGTAGAATACAAGCAGGTAAGGAGTTGGATTCCATACTGAGTCCCTTTCAATGAGGACTGACTCTGGCAGGGAGTCCACGGAGAATGAAAATTGTATTGACACATTTCTGTGCCATCAACACTTAACTTGGGAACAGAGGGGAGTTTATATCTGCCCCACCCATATCATCTGGATATTGTTCTTGCATTTTTAGCTGAGAAACTGAAGCTGAGACAGGAAACCTGACTTGCCTTAAGGTACTCAGTGTTTAGGGCCAAGCTATGGTTCCAGAGCTCCCAGTCTAATCTCTCACTGCATATGCTGGATATAGTGTCCCTCGTTTCCAAAGCACACAAAGGAGACAAGAGTCAGAATAAAGTCAGTGACTTTTATTATTCATGCATTTCGCAGAAAAAGGAATGTAGCAAATGGGGTGGGGTTGTATGAAAAAAAATCCAGGTTTGTCCATGTTGCTCTGTTTCTATCTGGGAGCAGGGCTCTCCCCACATCAGGCACAGCAGCTGCACTTGTCCGATGCCCCTTTGCAGACACAGCCCTGGGCACACTTGTCACAGCCCACTGGGCAGCAGGAGCAGCAGCCTGTGGATGTGGAGGAGGCAGCAGAGATGTGCACTAGGGATAAAAGGAATAAGGATTCCCACCCTCCCTTATAGGGATCTCTGTGGAGGAGCCAGCTTCCAAGAGAATGGGGCAACCCCAGACTTCTTAAATTCCCCCAAGATAGTGTAGAGGGCTGAAAACGGGTTGCCGGGTGGTGAAGGGGTAGAGGAAAAGAGGATTCCACTCACTCTTCCTGCAGGACGTGCATTTGCACTCTTTGCATTTGCAGGAGACGGCGCAGGTGCAGGAGCCACCTGCAAGGAAAAGGAAAGACAGTGACAAATGAGTGTGATGAAGAACATACAGCAGTTGGTCAACATGCTCCCCACTCAGTGCACAGTAGCTCTTGTCACTCAGGGCAGAGGGAAGTCTAACCTCATGCTGTCTCCCCACGGGCCAGGAAGGACAAGTGCCGTCCTCGTTTTACCCCATTTGGCCTTATGTTGGGAATCCCGAAGAGTTAATGTCCCCTGCCTCCCATTCCGCCCAGGCAACTCAAATGCTGGAACGAGCACTGGGTCCCAGCCCAACAGCCCAGTGACCATGTGGGTGACATAAAGTAGGGCGGTTTACAGCCTCAATACTATCGCCACTGAAATGAGAGGCGTGGAAAGATGGAAACGTTCTAAGTGGTGATGAAGGCGCTTGGTCTGAGAGAAAGCCCTAGAACTAGGAAGGAAAGGGGACCACTTCAGCCACTCAAAATACACCCTCCTTCAATCACAGGCACATTCTGTCCTCTGGCTGGTAAGTGGAGACCCTAAGGCCCGGAAACCCGGTGTCCCTCACCAGTGGCGCAGGAGCAGTTTGGGTCCATCTCGAGCCGACGTGAAGATGAAGGTCTAAGCAGGTGGTGATGAGGCAGCTGGGTGGTGGAAAGCGTGCTGGAGCCTAGGCGCCGGCGAGCTAATTTATAGTCAGGGGTGGGGTTCGGGCGCAAACACCCCGCCCCAGCGCTTGCACCCGCCCCGCAACTCAGCGCCTCCCTGCGTCCTTGGCTGGGCTGTGCACACCGTGCGGGCCGGGCGCAAGATCCCGGGCGCAAGGTCCCCGAGCGCGGCTCCGTGCGCACCGCGAGCCCGCCCCTTTGGCGCTCGCTGGAGCGGGAGGAGCTGTGCGTCACGGGGAACGCGGCGTCCCTGTGCCCTGCTGTCCTTACCCAGTTTCTCCGAGGGTCGGCCCGCCCTGCCCCCTGGCTTTTCGGGAACTCAGCCCCGGAGTCCTAGCCGTCCTCCACCCTCAACCCCACGCCCTCGTGCTCAACTTGCCTTGTGGGAACCCGTGTGCAACCCCAGGCTCCTGCTTATGTTCCTGGATCGGCGTGAGCTGGAGAATGCGGCGAGGGAGTTCTGAGACTTTCACCCCCACCCCCGCCTGTCTCTGCCCCCACCTAGGTCCTTTGGCCACGTTGCTCATGTACACAGCAACACTGGAACACGGGGCTCTGCCTCCTTTCCATTCTTCAAGCCCGAGGGGATGTATACATTTGTCGTGGTCCTCTGCACAAAATTCTACAGGAGTTCCACACAGCCTAGGGACCTACAGCACTCCAGGATGGCAATTCTAAAAATGTGGGATGACCCCAAAAGAAGGATCCTTCTATGTGATGTGCAGACCCTGCATTAAATGAAAAGCAAGACTAGTGGTTATTTTCCTTTCAATATTCCTGATTATTACATAGCATTTAGTTTGTGCCAGGCCCTGTTTAGTCACTTTCGCACCTGAACTCTCACAACAACCCTAAGAGGAAGTACATTTATGAACCATTTAATCGATGGGACAACTACAACATAAGGAGTTTAAAAGTACCTAGCCCGGGGTCACAGGGCCAGGAAATGGTGCTGCTGGATCTGAAATCTGTCCACTTGGCAGGGGAAAGGAATCAATGATAAAGCTTCCCTTTGGCCTAGAGGTCCCTTTCTGAGCTCCAGGTCACTTGCTCATGCATGGATAATGAGATTAATATATGAAACAGCGAAGCACATAAGGACTGCCTTTTTTTTTTTTTTTTTTGGAATAAAAATGTCTCCTCTACTATTAATAAAGATAACAAAAACATAACTAATGTTATAGACCACTCTCCCGTTGCCATGCATCATTCTAAGTTATTTCCATGCATTAACTCATTTGCTCCTACAAGGTAGACACTTTTTTATTCCCTATTCCAGTGGATGAGATTGACCCACAGTGAGGTTATGTCATTCAGGTATAAGTGACAGCAATGGGATTTGTACTCATGCAGGCTGACTGCAGGATCTTGCCCTCACCCAAAGCCTATGCCATCATGTCGCGTGAAACATGAGGACACTGAAATCTGGCACAGAGGCAGCAGTGGGAAGACCACTGAGCTGGCAATCAGCTTCCTCTACATTGCTCTGTGACTTCTCTGGGCTTCAGTTGACCATCTCTCAAGTCAAAGTCGCAATTGTTCTAACTAACCCTGGACCGTTCAGCTTTGAAGTATGAGAGGGAGGGATTTGCATCCAGTGGCATCATGATTTGTCACCTGATACCACGGCATGAGGCCAGCTGTAGTATCTGTTCATTCGTACTTTTAATCCTGAGCTGTGTCATTTTGGGCAGGTTGCTTACCTACTCCGGAAGACAGCACATCTTGCCAGACCCTGCACATTCAGTATCTCCCTGGTTCATGTGACAATCAAATGACATGAAGGGTGGGAAAGGCTTTTTCTTTGTTCAAATGCTGGGACAGTGTCTTGTCTTGAAGAGTACAGGAGGCCATTCTCATGGCCTCAGAACCAAATCAGGAGGCCTTTTGTGCAGAAGTCTATCCACATGGCCTCAGAACCAAATCGGCAAGGTTCCAATCCATCCTCAACATTTAAGCCACAGTAATGTTTCCAAACAGATGGGCCTTTCCCCAGGAACTTGATGAGAACTAACAGGATTCTCTCCTGAAAGTCCATGTGGATGGAATGATTGTAATGCCACTATATTAAACCCTACTCATTAGTCATGTCACTATCACATTTAATTCCTACATAGAGAAACAGTTTTTCTGCAAATGAGGAAATGGAGGCTAGAAGTTGGAGCAATTTGCCTAAGACACACAGCCAGTAAGTGGTGAAATGAGCTGTGTACCAGGATTACCTGACATCAAAACCCATGCACTTGGTCCACAATGCCTGCTGGAATCCCCTCTTCACACAGGGCACCTAGAGGCAAGCACTGTCTTGCCTCCTAGGCCACCAAACTCATCTTCCTCTTTGAACAAGAAATAGAAATTCCTTCAAATCCTCTCTTCACACAGGGCACCTAAAGGCAAGCATTGTCTTGCCTCCTAGGCCACCAAACTCATCTTCCTCTTTGAACAAGAAATAGAAATTCCTTCAACAAAATAGTCATGAGGAAAAAATGCTGGCATTAATTACAAGTCACCCAGGTTGGTAGTCTTTCTCGATGAACACCACCACACACTGGAAAAAACTGCAAAATATGCCATCACCACTGCCTGGCCAGACACAAAGTACTTCATCTGGAAGCATTGCTCACATACATTCCATCTTGCTGGGAAATTTTGGGCAATCCCCTCCAAATCCCTAGTCATTTTGCATGCTTGATGTAGTCAAAGGCTGGGATTTGAAGGAGGAGCAGATTTCAGCCTGACTCTGGGAGGAACTTCGAGAGATTCAGAGCCAAGTCACAACAGGGAACTCTCAGGGGTAGCAAGAGTCCTGTCAGTAGCCCAGGGCAAGCCAAGATTGAGGGTTCTTTGTGGGGATTTTCAGGCCAGTGCTGCTCAAGGTGTGTGGCCCACACACTGGGGCCAGTCAGGGAATTGTTTCCAGCAGATTTCAGCCTGACTCTGGGAGGAACTTCCAGAGATTCAGAGCCAAGTCACAACAGGGAACTCTCAGGGGTAGCAAGAGTCCTGTCAGTAGCACAGGGCAAGCCAAGATTGAGGGTTCTTTGTGGGGATTTCCAGGCCAGTGCTGCTCAAGGTGTGTGGCCCACACACTGGGGCCAGTCAGGGAATTGTTTCCATCTGGGGTGTGCACCCTAGAACAAAGATGCAATGGTTGTGATTTAAAAATTTTTTTTCTTTTATTTTATTATACATATATTTATTAAAATTTGCCTATTGAATGAACAAAATAGTTCTTTTTGTGTGTGTCTTTATTTTTTTCACAGTAATTCATTTCATTTTATCTTCCCAAAGTTTAGGGCTGTGACAGATAGAAAATAAAACCTGGTTGTTTACCACTGCATTTTAGAAACTCTGTATAGAATATAAGCAGACAGTAGGATTTTATCCCAAGTTCCTGTAAAGCCTAACATTTAATGAATATCAACATTTGGTAGGGAATCCGCAGAAAAAGAAAACGAGATTGAGAAGTTTCTACACCATCAACACTTGATTTGAGAATGGAGGGGAGCTTATATCTGCCCCATTCTTATGTCGCCTGGATGATGCTCTTGCACTTTTCATTGGGAAACTGAATCTGAGACAAGGAACCTGACCTGCTTTAAGGCACTCATTGTTTAAAGTGCCAAGCTATAGTTCCAGCAACTAGGTCTCTGGGCTCCCAGTCTAATCCTTAACTCCAGCTATTGGATGTGATGTCTTTTATTCCTGAGGCATGCAAAGGAACCAGAGTCAGAATAAAGTCAAATGCTTTTATTATCATTCACATATATCACAGAAAAATGAATGGACCAAATGGTTTGGGGTTGTATAAAAATGAATCCAGGTTTGTCCACGTTGATGTATTTACATGTGCAAGCAGGGCTCTCCCCACATCAGGTGCAGCAGCTGCACTTGTCTGATGCTGCTTTGCAGACACAGCCCTGGGGCACACTTGGCACAGCCCACGGGGCAGCAGGAGCAGCAGGCTGAGAAAGAAAGGGGTGAGTGAGAGGTCAGAGCTGACTTACCAGGCACCTCTCTGCCCCAAAAGCACACCTGGAACAAGCTCTGCCCCAATCCCCTAGGACCCTTTTTTTAGGATGGCACATCTCTGCTCTAATAAATTAAGTGGTACCTTTGAGTTTTGTCCCCCAACAGAAAAGGATGACTTTGCCTCATCTGAGCTCAGGACAGGGCAGATCACCTGGAGAGGGAATGTTATGGCCTCTGGGGGCAGAGGAAGGCCAGTTCCCCAGGATACACTCAGAACCAGCTCTGAGTCCCTCCCAATCTTAGTCACAGCCCCAGATTCCCAGGGGAAGGCCCTCAGTCACTCTTCTTACAGGAGGTGCAGTTGTACTCTGCATTTGCAGGAGCTGGTGCAGGTGAGGACACCACCTGGAAAGAAAAGAACGACAGGCAATGAGCAATGAGTGAGATGTAGGAGATACAGCAGTGGGTCAGTAACTCTCCCTGCACCCATCACTGTGCAGGCCCAGGCCTGGGAGCTCCTGTCCCACACAGAACAGATGCAAGTGTAAGCCCACCTTCTCCACCCTCCTGCGGGAAGCACAGTGCAGCCTCTTCTCTTTTTCCCACAGGGAAGGATGGTCCAGGGTCCACACTCAGTTTGGGGAAGCTGGGCCAAGGGCCAGGATCTTAGGTCATGAGACCAGAAGTGGCAGTGCTCCCCACCTCCCATCCAGCCCAGGCAATTCAGGCCTGGACAGAACACTGTGGTCAGACCAGTAGCCCCAGGACCACCTGGGAGATATCTAGCAGGACAGCCTTGGCCCTCAGTACCCTTTACCCTGAAAGAGAGGTACAGGATGGGAGAAAATGCTCTCAGGAGCTTGACCAGGAAGAAAGCAGCAGACAAATTAAATGAATACACTTCAGCTCAGAACTCAAAATGCGCCCTCCTCTAACCACAGGGACACTCATTTCTGTGGTGGGGAAATGGGGATCCTAAGGACAGAAAGCCAGATCCCTTACCAGTGGTACAGGAGCAGTTGGGGTCCATTTGAAGCCGAGGTGAGGCTGGAGATCCAAGCAAGAGGTGACAAGGCAGCTGGACTGGTGGAAGGCATGGTGGAGCCCAGGAGCCTGCAAGCTCCATTTATCCTCAGGAGAGGTTCTGGGTGCAAAGGCTACACCCGGGCCCTTCCA